GAAAATACCCACATCTCATAAACAAGATACACAACAATAATAGGGGTTAAACTAAATGATTTACCACTTCTCAAGCTTTCTTTTCGCTTCTACAAGCTCTCAAGTCGAACAGTCGTTTCTCCTCTTTCTAATCTCTCAAAAAAAGTCCAAATTCTTACGTGAGACTTCTATTTTAGGTTTCAGACTTTCGTGTTCTCGCTCGAGCGAGAAGGGCTCACTTGGGCGAGAAACCCACGACTTTTCACCTTTCCAAACACTGATGCTCTCGCTTGGGCGAGAATCCCACAGATTGCTCAGGTTTCTATCGCTTGAGCGACCATTTCCTCGCTCGGACGAGGCTCTCAGAAAACTTACACCAGAAAATACTGAGTCTCTCGCTTGGGCGAGATCCTCTCGCTCAAGCGAGAATTTCCAGTAAAAACCCCAAAATTCGAAGTTTTATAATTATTGTCAAAATGAAATTTGAGGTGTTATAGAGTACACTGGCGTAAGCAAGCATGTCAGAACCTAGGAAAAGGCTAGGCCATGAGGTCATGCATGACACACCAAAGTAGCTCACCATGCAAGTTATCGCTAGCATGGGCGACTAGTCCATAGGCCAGACGTTTAAGCTCCTTGGTAGCCCTTCACTAGGTTTTGCACATAGAGTAGGCCAGACTGGCCAGCAACTGGCCAATAGCTCGACTCACATAAAGAAAATCTCTCATAGTGAGTTTGATGAGGCGTTGGGCGCACAAAAGCAGGGCTGATGTGAAAATGCACACCCTAAATATACGCGTTGCTCGATCAACCTCTCACCAAGGATGATGCTATGTGTATTTCCAGGTGTGCAAATGCACACCCTGACTTTTTAGAAAAAATATATTTACTACCTATAACTCTGCAGGTACAAAATTTATTTTTTTATAAATAATATGACACGCTTTATGAAACTTCATGATTGCTTCTCCAAGATAAATATTCAGTTGCTTCTTTGTATGTCTTATTTGAGTCTAGCCATTTCTTATTGAATTTACAAAGTTTTATCCACATGAGTTTTATTCAACTGATTACTTGAGACTTACATTATTAATATGCATAACAATGTTGAATTTACTTATTCTAAAGGAATCAATAATCTTTAAGATAAGTTGGTCAAAATTATAAGACATATTGTTTACCTATTAGTTTATTTTCTTTTAAAGTTTTACTAATACAATTGTAGAAATAGTTTTTTCAACTATGAAAACTATGAAAAATAAGTTGTTTAATCGAATGAGAAATACATGTATGAATGACTATACTTAGCGAGAAGTATTCAACAATATTGACAATGTATCGATGATTAAATGATTTTAAAATGTAAATTCCCGTAGAGATTTATTATGAAATATGTAATGTATTTGATTAAATATATTTAAATTTTATGATTTTGATATTAAATTTTAACATATATATCATCGCCTCTCATTCACATGCTTTTTAGTTCGATCCATGATCATATCAAAAGTAGAAACCATGTCATGTTTATGAAAAAACACTTTATTAATAGAGGTAAAACTCACCTTGAGCATCCTTCATTTTAAAAGAACTAATCTATGAATCGATAAACAATCTAGAATCATGGTGAACACATATATAGGTAGTCTACAAAGAAAAGTAATGAGGTCCATTGAACTCGTTTGCAAGCGGATTGCAACTTACGTACGTCCAATAATTCTTTTTCTTTCGGAAACTCACCACACTTCAAAACAGTAACATGCCTAACCTAGAAACGAAGAATAAAGACATAGGGACATTATTACTTTCAGACATGTGATCCTTACTCATAAACAAAATAGGGATCACATGTCACTATTCCTGTCTCAAAATCTTGTCTTGGGTCCATTAAAAAATTGTTACTTCATTATAAAAAAATATTATAAAAATACAAATAACATTTTATATTATTTTAAAATAATTTGATTGATTTGGATATGGAGACACAGGTCCTCACTCAAAAAAAGAAGGCTCATCGTGCAAACCACACATTTGCTGTAGTTCACTCAATTAGTCCAATAACATCATGCCACGTATACACTATAACATAGTTCTAGCCAATCCCGAATAAGCCGTGACGTTGACCAAATTTTAATTAATTATTATATATTTACCGTAATTAGAAGAGCTATTCAAATATATAATATAAAAAACCAGAAATAACGGGTCTCATCTACCACAACAATAAAAAGATTCAAATTAAGGTTGGGGAGGCTTTGCCGGCGATAAGTGTTTTCCGGCGATCTCTTATTTCTTCCACCGTTTTCCGGCGACTTATTCCGTTCTCCTCGCAACCATGGTATTACACGTTTATCTTCCCTTCTCTTTTTTTATTTAACAGTATTCGCGAGATTTTATAATTTGCTTTCAATTTATTGCATGCATCACTTGATTTCAGTCTCGATTTAGATCTAATAGCTTCGTATCTTCTTTTCCTCTTTAGCTTCCGTTTGATTTATTGTGTTGGAATTTACAAATATAGAATTAATTTTATTTAGGAATGGAACGCACTTAAACTTAATCAGATTTCACCTGATCTGAACACAATTAAAGTCAATTTTCTCACAATTAAGGCGATTCTTATTTGTAAAATCAGAATAATTGCTAATTTTCGCGTTTCTAAAAGCTGATAATTGTGAAATGTTTTCATATATTATGTATCATTCGTTCCATAGTTCTATTTAAGCTTATGGATCTGATCGAGGTACCATATCATTTATACTTTACAATTGAGGTTACTGTTATGTTGCATTTACCACAATGACAAGCATTTCAAAGAAAGATGATAAAATATGAGAAAAACTTATAGAAATATATATAACACGTCATATTTGGTGCTATGTTGTGCAGAGACGTATATAACAAGTGTATTTATGTTTTTCGGTGCTATCTTTTATTACTAAGTTTTAATTAAAATTAAATTTTTAATGTGTTGTAAAGATTTGACCGGTTGTTTCTGTTTACGTCTCCACACAAGTGTTTCTTTATATACATATGTCTCCACACAAGTTTCTCTATATACATACCTCTCCAAATAATTGTTTCTCTATATACATATGTATCCACAGAGAAAATGGTTGCAGCAAAAATTGGAGACTAGAAAAACCGCTTTAAAATTGTGTATTTGTGCTCTTCCTTGGTGCAATATGAATTGGGTCGATTGATTTAATTATTATTTTCAATGTGAATGAAATGAAAGTGTGTAATATGGTGTTTTTGTGTAGACTACATCACGAAGACTTGCAGACAGGAAGATAGTGAAGTTTGATAAGAACATCACAAAAAGAGGATCTGTTCCAGAAACAACCACTAAAAAAGGGAAAGACTATCCCGTTGGCCCAATATTGCTCGGTTTCTTCGTCTTTGTTGTCATTGGATCATGTAAGAACATCATCATATCAATACCATCATCATAATCATCCTACTTATTCATTTTACTGATTTTTGTATAACTACTATTCTAAGTTTCTCTTTCACACCAGACAATAGTAGCAAGTATTCCTCTATGTGTATGTGTTTTGTGGTTTCTGGTTATGTTTAGTATACTCTAATCATTACATTGTTGTAACTTGTAAGAGCTAGGTACTGAAATATGTTTCACAACTTAAGAAGGATAACAGTAACAAAAGTACTTTGTGTGTTTTTAAAGGATTAGACATTTAAAGGATTAGACATCCTATAGGGAGGGGCAGGGTATGGTAATGGTATGCCAAATTGGGATTAAGCTATCCCCAAAGGGACTTTTGGTTTAACTTGAGCTAATGTTTTTGGAAGTTTGTGGTTTTAAATACTCCCCGGGACTCTGTATGCGAGTTGAGTTTTGGAGGGGAAATGGAAGGCTTCATAGCCATGTCACAAATGTATGTTATCGGTCTCAATTCTTTTCTTTCCCTCCATCACCCTCCAAAAACCAACTTGCGAATAGACTTTTTAGGTTTAAGATGACATTTTCTGTTTCATGTTTTAGATTGTATTTGATGTTTTCGTGGCCTTTGATTTCAAGTTTCATTGACATATTTGTTTCATTTCCTTGCACAGCTCTATTTCAGATAATCAGGACAGCAACGAGTGGAGGCTTTGCATAGTTGGAGCTTTGATTGTGTGGACTTTCTCTTCTATAGCACTGTAGAACATAACTATACTTTTCTGCTGATACTTGTACTAGACCAGTTCCTGTTCCTGTTTTGATGAATTTTAAGGAGTTTTATTTTAATTCAAATATACCTAACCTGTTTCTGTTTTCTTTATTTATCAGAAGGAATGTGCTTAATAAATAAAGATGTTAATGAATTTGGAGTGACAATTAATATAAAACAATGACAATAAACACTACGTTATTATGGATATGATAGTGCAACAAATAAATTCCTAAACAACAATTATTTGTTTGAAAGGGGTAACAACTTAAAGCAGTGTAACTGACTGAGGTTAGAAGGAATTGGTATTTAGTGAAGAGAACATTCCAGGCCGGGTGTCACAAGAGTTGCATAAAACCGGTCTATGGCTTTCAAATTAAAATTCAAATTAATCATTTAAATGCCTTAGAACACTCATTTTAAGTGCAAGTTCTAAAGTTTTCTTATATCTCTATGTAACTTTTGTTCAAAACTTCTTTAAGTGCAAGTTCTAAAGTTTTTCCAAACCTAAATCAATGGAATCTATCCAAGGTTAATCCGGTGAGTAATGGACTCTAAAGACCATGAGGAATGACCTTTGACTTTGACTTTTTACATGTTACGCACTTTTTACACACAAAAATTATATGATCAAAGATTTAATTAGATTATCATTATCAGTAGGTAATGTCATGTCAGCCCATAACTTCATTTTATTGGGTTTAATTTTAAATTTGGGAAAAGCTTAAGTATGAACTAAGAACTTAGATATGAAAATAGAGAGATACAAGGTCTGTATTAACAACACCCCCACCCATAGAAGGAGATATGGATCTTAAAGTAATTTCCAACATTCCTTATATACATTCTTCCTTATCATTTCTCTAACTTTTTAATTGTATTTTCAGCCATATTTCCACTATGCCTCCATAAGTGGGTTAGTTAACTCTATTTATAGTACAATCTTCAATCTATTATTTAGTTAACTCTAACTATTGTGACATTTTCGTTTCCAGATTCCCTTGATCTCTTCGCATATGACGTTTCAATTCAAGTTTATTACTTTTTGAGTGAAACGATGAAGATATAATGTTGTTGCTTTTCTTGAACATGTATTTGTGCATTGGTTAGGTTTCAATTGTGCGGACTTCCAGTTGCATATACTTCTTTCTTCAGCAAAGACAATGCGATTTTGAATTTAGAGAGTCTTCTCATGAACAAAGGCAGAGGTAATTCGTACATAAAAAACACAAATGGAATAGAAAGACTTTAGGTTCCATTTCCATTATTTGGATTGTTTAAGATAGGATGAAGTGGAATCAAATAAGTGTTCATCAATTTTGGGCTCTAAGATAACATTAGTATTTGACAACTGATATTGTTTCTTCTTTTGATGTCATAGACTATTATCTGACATATTAAGATTGGAGGCTAAGGTTGAGAGGCTTGAAGGACAATTGCAAGTCAAAGACATGGTCATAGAGACCATTAGTAGAACAGTGCGGACATGCTTCAGAATCTGATTTTGAGAAACTTGAAGCATTTTTTTATCTTATGTAAAGGAAATTAAAAGAACAAATTGTAGCTATTTTTGCTGCTAGCACACAACTTATTTTGTTACAAAGTTATGCTATTAGATTTAATTTAAGTTTTTTATGGGGAGCGAGATGAATTACAAAGAATAGTTATTGGTAACCAGGTTAGAAAGTGGATCTACTTTGCTTAATTATTGCGAAACACCAACATCAAATTGGATGAACTCTGACTCTTGCCAATGTGACTATGAGTTATGCCAAATTTCTGCCAAATTGGATGATTGCGAAATTTATTATTGTGTGCTTTAAATTACTAAATTGATGAAATAATATTTAGTATATTTATATTCATATTAAGATCGGACATGAGTTATGCTATTTGTGTAAATTATGGGTAAGGTTAGTTACTTTGGAACACTAAAAATAACTTCATAGGCACTAATTTTACTAAAACACTAAATAGTTTTTTTGGTACAACTATTTCATGCAAAACAAGCCTTATTATCTATACTTATGTAATCCTTTTTCTCATTGATTTCTTCACATGTTCCTCATATAATTCAATAACTGACTTGCATCATTCTTCTTTGCTGGTGAAAACTCCACATTCTTCATAGCATGGAGAAAAACAATAAGTGATGAGAGGAAAATGAAAATTGCAAAACAACTTTAACATCATTAGCTACGTTTTAGTTAAACATATATTGTTATTTTTTTAGTGCGTACTTCTTCATATTGTATGGTTGGATATCCCAATATAGTGAAAAAATTCAAATTGTGATGGATGCCTATTTATGGTTGGTTAACCCAATATAGTGTAGGAGTATAAGTAATGCTAAAATATCATCTTTTGGCACATTTTAAATTGTCAGAGTTTGAAGATGATCTAATTTGAAAAGAACAACAAAAATTGGAATCAATCAAAAACATTTTTCCAACAAAGGTCATTTTCAACTATATGATAAAATGATATTGAATTTATTGGCATTAACATCAGCAATGTTGTTTATGTCATTTAATTTAATCAACAATTAACTATTTTGTCTTTGTATTTACATAGATATACTCTTAGAGATTTATTTACATAAAAACAATCATAAAATATATAAATTATTAGTATTATAGAGAAAATTATGTACATAAGGAATGCACATTATATATATATATATATATATATATATATATATATATATTAAAAGTGACCGTTTTTATTAGAAGATTATGTACAACTATTTTTTAAAACATGTACAATAAAATATTACAATTGCCTGTCATTAGTAATTAACTCTAAATGTATACCGAAAAAATGTATCTTCCAGAACTTCATTTTTTTTAGCAACTTCAATATGTAAACAATAATAACAATAAGGAAGATGAGTGTAAAAGGCATAGTATTAATAATAATAACTTTCATATTATTAATATTGTATGTATAAACATTAATTTGTTAAAATTGTTGATATTAACATTAGTTTTAAACATGCACATTATGAATTGATAATGTTAAAAACAACTAATCCATAGTATAAAATATAATGACTATCAATCTAAAATAAAAAATAACCAATCTAAAGTTGTGCTTATATTTCATGTGTAAACTTTCAAATATTTAAACATAATGATCATCAATATAAAATTAAACAAAATCATTCAAGAAATATGCTAGAAAAAACACCTTATAAATTTATAGGGTACTTATAAACATAATCCCAAAAAATATGGTGCAGAAAGAAGTCCTTATATTTATATAGAAAATATAGAGTGGAGATATTATCCCATCCAATTTGAATTTTATTTATTACGAGTTAATTTAGAATTAAATAATTTCAACATTCATACCAATGTTATTAAAACCGTACCGGTTATCAAATCGGTCAGTGTACTAGTATAGTGATACAGTGGTTCAACCGGTGGTTCAGTAATTAAACTTATAACAAAAAATTTCAAATAAGTAGGTATTCAGATTTATAATTCATATTCATAATCTAATTCAAATTCACACAAACAAACAACATTAAGTCTTTAACAAAATCAAAGACTAAAGTGCAAAATATATATAAATCCAAAATTATCACTTAACAAACGCAAAATACAAATAAATGACACAAGTATCAATCATTGAAGTTGAAGAATTGGTGAAGAATTGAAAATTTGAAATGTGAGGCTGTGTATTTTCACTTTTCAGGGTTGAAGGAAACCCTTTTCCCTAAACGACGTCGTTTAGGGGATGAAATTTTAAAAAAAATTATAATGTATAAACCGGTCGGTTTTAACCGGTTTACCAGTTGCGGTATAACATACGTACAGTACCGGTTAAGGGTCCAATTGAACCGGCCGATACGGTACAGTTTTTATAACATTGATTCATACTATATTTCAACAAATCAATGCTGATAATAATTTTGATACAAACATACTTTTGTGATTTTTTGGGTATAGCATAAGATGATAATAATGTAACCATTATAATAATATTAACAAGATAATGATAATATTAGATAAAATTATAAAAGCAACAATAATGCTGATATTATAGACTAACCTAACCTGGAAGTGAAATCCCACTCATTATTTCACCCCATCCTCCATTTACACTCGGATAAAAGATGCATGTGTTATAAATGTCAATATTGCACATATACCCTAAGGTTTATTCACTTGACATGTTGTCTTTGTAGAATTACATCTTAATCTTGTCAATAAAACATTCTTATGTGATTATCTAGTCCACCGTGCTTATCTAACCATCGATTTTACCTTTCAATAACTTAAATGAAAATTCAATAAATTTGGATGAATAATTATGATCTTATGTGGTCGAATAATTTCAACAAGTCATGAATAAATAATTTGACAATTTGATATAGCTGGTAAGGAACAAGTGAATCAATTTTTTTAAATGGTAATACAATATCATTTTGAAAAAGATTTTTTTTGTGATTTCTACTTACGTTTGTCATTATTATAGTTATATTTGTCATTTATTTTATATTTGTCGCTTGTTAGCTTATGTTATATCAAAAACTTAGTTGTTAAATTTATGTTTTAACCTTATTTTTCCGTTATTGTTATGACTAAAGTGTTTTTAATAATATTTTTAATTTAATTGTGATATTCTGCTTTTTAGTAAAACATTTATTACTACTTTAATTGTTATGTACTTGCCTGATAATAACATTTTTAAATTTGAAAAATAAGGTTAGATGACCCAGTGATGTGCTAATGACATATTGACTAAGAAACCCGACAGAGTTTATAACCGTGTGAGAATAATAACATTGTATGTCTGGTACCAATAAAGATTTTGATATTTATGCACCAATGTAAAGTCTTTTATACAATTACTACATCATTCATCTTCATGTGTATTATTTTAAAAAGAATTGGTGATAATTAACACAAAAATGATCGATGATGTGCAACTAGATTTTTTACTCTTAAATAAACATGTTAATAATAAAGTGATATAGTTCATAAACAAATTAATAAAGTGTAATGAATAATGGTGTATTAGGCATGCCCTTATAAGGATTTTAAGAATCTCTAATTGCACAGATGAGCATGTGTGAGAGAAAGAAAGAGAAAGAGAGAGAGGTAGACATTTATTAAGGAATTGTGGTAATACATGATCCACCTGTCCCTATGCCACTGTTTGTTTTGTGCCCACTCTGCTCTCAACACAACAACACAAATGGCATGTTTCCCTCCTTTCTTCACTCTCCATTTCTCTTCACATTTCTCATCAATTTCTCTCCTTTAACCCATACATGCTCTTCATTCCACACTCACCACTTTTCACTATTCACTATTCCACCACACTACAGTAAGTTCTCTCTCTCTCTCTCTCTCTCTCTCTCTCTCTCTCTCTCTCTCTCTCCACTACTCATTCTTTCACTCATTCATTTTATTAGTGCTGATAAATCCCATTTTCCAAAATAAGAAGAATCAGAAGAAAGATAAAGTAAAGAACTAAAGATTTTTACTACTGTTGGGAACACCCTCTTAATCCTTCTCTTACTATTTACATCTATTTATGGTTCTGAGATTGAAGATAACACAAATAAAATAAGCATTATCTTTTTTCATTTCCATTTTTGGGTTCTTAGCTTTTTTTGTTCATTTTAAAAATAACATTTTTTAATGACTATTAATTATTGGTCACTGCTCTGCTGTGTTTTCATTACTTTTTCAGTGAATATTTCCATTTGTGGTAGAATCAGATTGTAGCTTCCTTTTTTCGAAGACTTTGATAATAATGTTAAGTAAAGGTTGGACTTTTAGCCCTACCTCACTATAAAAAAATGTGCTTTTTTCTACCCTCTTCATCTTCCTCCTCTTATCTGTGTACCACTTTAAGGTTTATCATTTTCTCGGGAAAGTGGAATGCTAAGAAAGTTAGGTTTCCATGAAAGTTGTGTTTTTTCTTCTCTCTTTTTCTGTGCTTTAAGACCTATAGTTCTTGTACCTTTTAAGGTTAAAGGGACCAAAAACTTTCCTTTGTACTAGTAAAATAGTAACCTAATCCATTGGGTTCAATTATATCCTAAAACTTTTGCAAAACATAGCTCAATGCTTGATGTATTTGATTGGTTATGTTCCATTCATGAACTAACAAGTCATAGTAAACAAGATGGGTCATTATCATAGGTCCATGAAGTAGCATTGAATATAAAACATGTTATTATTGTAGTTTTGTTGGGGGATATGAATCATTGCTCTCAGGCATTTATGGTTAGGAAGGTTGGTTGTTGGTCTTGCTTTTGAAGGAAAGGTGAAAATGGTTTTGTTGTGAAAAGTTTTCTAGTGTTTGAAGTTCTAGTGTGTCTTCTATTATTATTAATCATTTATTGTTGTGGGGTCTCATTCAATGGTCGCTTACTTCTGACATTGCATAAGAATTATTGGAATTAAAGCTTCCAATGTTGAAAAGGATGTCTTGGTAAGTAGGGCCTTAGAGACAATCTTAAGGGATTGTTGTAATGATAATACTTTTTGTTGATGCTATGAATGAATTGTAAAATGCCCTTAAAAGTTATAAGTGTTAGTGAAGTTTAGAGTTGGGAAATGCTAGGTGAGAAGCTGGTTTACATTAAAAGTTTACCAAACAATAGTTTAAATGCTAGATGTGTGCTAAAAGATGGGGAATGCAGAGATGTGAT